TGAACGTTATGGTACAAAACAGGTCTCTCAACATTTAGTTGTTGTGCAGTTTGATCCTCAAACTTCACATTTATTTAATTTGGTATATGATTTTAACTTTTCTTACTACTATTTAGTCCCCAAAGTTCAGCGACATCCTTTCTATTTCTTCAACTAGAGTAGTAAAGTTGCAAAAGCATATACATTGTCTATGGTGAAAACTAAACTTAGTTAATAATTAACAATAAAGAATGAAATTATGTGCAAAAAAATGAACAAAAATAAATTAAATAGAAAGAAATTTAAGCAAGCCACTTGGGTTAGTGATCATATCAAAAATGAAATTTTAAGGAAAGGAAGTGATTAAAAGCATATAATCTTACCACGTTAAAGTTGGAGTTTAAAGCTAAATAATCATCTAGATAGTAATCAAGGGTTATGGATTGAAAATTACTAAAAAAAGCAGAAAGAAAGCTAAGAAGAATTAGGGTACATTTAAGATTAGGAAAATGATTGGTACACCTTTCAGTTTAACATATTTAACAATATCCACCAGTTTAATCATTAAAATTTACCTTTGAGAATTTTTCTGTTTTGAATTCAAATTTAAAAATATTAGTTTCTTAATAATTGAACTAATGAGTGTTGTTAAGTATATTAAACTGGAGGATGTACCAATCATTATCCTTAAGATTATTGTGGGGTGCTATAGCTGTAACTGTAATTATGATTATACTGTACTATGATTAAAGGTTATTTTAATATTTAGTTATTTATTCTTTTAAAATTTTTGCGGGATTCACATACTTGAGCATTGGCGAGAACAAGGATGGGAAAGGGGTTCTTGTCCATGCAAGGACCCATTGCCATCCCTATATGCGAAAGCATAATTAGAAAGTTTCAAAATGTGGGTTTTAGCTTTATATATAAAATTTCTATGAACATGCTATAGCTTTCTATAGTTTTTGAAAAAAATAATTCAAAAAAAAATTAAATACACAAATATATGTTTACAAAAAAAAAAAAAAAAAAAAAGGCCTTTGAGCTTGACTAAGGACTTCAGTATCATCTGTTACCAGAGTAGTAATCAAAATTTATTCGATTCAGTGTCTTGGACTCCTATCTAAAAATTTCATTCAATCTAAGAATCAATCAATCTCCAAAACACAAGTATTTCTATTTGTTGTAGACATGACCGTAGGAGACAGGTGTTCATGAGTGGCATCTACAATCGGGCCAAGGTTGAGGTTGGC